GCGCGGACTAACCTTTGCGGTAGACCCTGGAGGTGGGCTCCGGTTCCGGCCCGGGCGCCGGCTCCGGCTGAGGCTCCGGCTGCGGCTCGGCGACGCTGTCCAACACGCCGTTGCCGGCGGCGGCCGGCTCGCCGAACAGCGAGCTGAGCTGGCGCTCCAGGTCGGCCGGCGGGCGGCGCGTGCTCAGGTTCACCGGCTCCGAGGCCGCCTCGGCTGCCGGCACCGGAGCTGGTTCTGGGGCTGGTGCTGGGGCTGGGGCTGGGGCTGGGGCTGGGGCTGGAGCCAAGGCCGGGGCCGGGACCGGAGCCGGGGTCGGGGCTGACGCCGGGGCTGGTGCTGGTGCCGGTGCCGGTGCCGGTGCCGGGGCCGGGGCCGGGGCCGGGACCGGGGCGGCCGGCTCGGTGACTCGCTCCACGGCTTGATTGTTGACAAGGCCCGGAGAGGCGGCGGGGGAGGCGGCAGGAGGGGACCCAGCAGGGGAGGCAGCAGGGGAGGCATCGGGGGACCCGGCAAGAGGGGAGGCAGCAGGGGAGGCAGCGGGAGAAGCGGCGGGGGAGGCGGCGGCTGGCGACGCCGCCTCGCCCTGCACCGCCGGCGAGGACGGCGGCGACGCCTCCGGCACCGGCGCCGGAACGGCAGCGACCGGCTCGCTGGTGGACGATCCGCGCCGCCGCTGCGTCCTCCTGCCGCGCGCCGGCGCCGCCAGCGCCGCCAGCTGCTCGTCGTCCTCGTCGTCGCCGTACTGCACCGTCTTGGCCACGCGCTCGCGGGCCTCAAGCGCGGCGGCGCGCCGTGTGCGGCGCACGGCCCGCCCCTCTGTCGGCTCCTCCTCCGGCCGGGCCGTCGGGGACGGCGTGCGCGCCGCCGGCGGCTCGTACCTGACGGCGCGCGGCAGGGGCGTCAGGCAGGCGCCCGTCAGCCGCGTCGATCGCGTGCCGTGCGTGCACGGCGCACGCGGCACGTGACGTACGTCATGACACACATGCACGTGACGTGACGTGCGGCACGCTCTGGACGGTGGAGAAGGACGCGAAATGACTGAGTGTCTGCTCCCACGCGGAACGCCGGGATCGCATCCCAGCAGTCATGGCCCTGAGCACTTATATGACCTCCGCGGTTGCTGACACCACATCAAAGGACGCTCGACAACGTGCATCGCGGTCTCCTCAAAAACAGGACGATGAGCATGACCTATGGGTATGACCACATGGTTATGGCAACACAATGTATAAAGTGCTATACTTTGATTAGCGCACACTTTGAAAGCTCGAGAGAACTGAGCCCGGTATACCCGGTATGACCACGGCCCACGAAAACGCCGATGATAGATAGTTTCGCGTACATTCTCCGACAGTTTCGCGCACGTAGGGTCGGACGTAATGATGCCCGATTCGGTTCGGTTCTTAGCTCCCAGGCTTCGGCGCATCGGAAGTCACATACCATTCCGCGTGGTCTGATGTTAACGAACCCGTGTCTTCTTCAACACCACACAACAATCTTCCTTCACGACAGCAAATCAAAAGGACAACGCGATTGGGACAACAACGGGAAAACAACGACAGCTCAACACCGCTGCCGACATTGTCACGGGCGCTTGAGGCGCCTTAGTCGACCACGAAAGCAAAGCCCGGAAGATCCCTCCGTCCCAAAGGAGCCGCTTCCACCGCGGCCGCCAGTTCCGTCGGCGTCGGACCGAGTGAGTACCTGGCCGCCTTGGGCGGGTGGGGCGCGGCCGGGGCGGGCGGCGGCCGTCTCCTGCGGTGTCCTCCGCCTCCTCCGCCGCCACCTCCGCCACCTCCGCCGCCGCCGCCGCCGCCGCCGCCGCCGCCGCCGCCGCCGCCGCCGCCGCTCTCCGCCGGCGGCCCGCTGACCGCCGTCAGGTCGCCGGTGTCCTTGTCGCGCGAGATGCGCAGCTTCAGCGGCGGCAGGCGCGTCACCTGCCGCACGGAGGGCGCGGCGCGCGCGGTGTCAGCGGCCGGCGCGAGCACTCCGCGGCGACACCATCCGCCACCCATTCCCACGTCTCCCCGAGCGGTGCACACATCCATCAGACACGTGCACTTGACCGAGGCTGACGCGTCCGCCAGCGCGCCGCCCGCGCCGGCCGTCCGAGCCGCCGACGGACGGCGGCAGGCCGGGCGGCGCGCTGCAGCTATGCCAACACAGGTGGGAGAGCATGCCACGACCCGGTGCGAAAACAACATCCCAGCGGATACGGCCGCTCGCCGAACCATTTGGGCCACGTGCACACACTCACACAAGCACATGTACACAAATGTACGCACATATCTCGCCCGCTCCGGGGAGACAGCCCCTCCCCCCCCCCCCCCCCCGGCGACGGAAGGCCCGCCGACAGACCTGGGGCGGCGCAGCGGCCGGCTCGCGCGGGCTCAGTGAGTTGGTGCGGGTGGTGGTGGAGTCGCGCAGCGGCAGCGAGACGGCCGGCGAGCTGAAGAACCGCTTGCTCTCCGGTTCCTCCTGACGGCGGGTGAAGCGGGTCAGGGCACGGCACGGTAGGGTACGGCAGGGCAGAATACGGCAGGGCGCCTCAGGGCAGGGCAGGGCAGGGCAGGGCAGGGCAGGGCAGGGCACTGTCAAGAAGTGTCAATATTACCGGAAATACTCGAGCGATACGATGTGATTAGGTGAAAAATTGGAATGGATACATATTGATAATTTCTTAGCACAATGATGCGAGTTTGACTCGCACAAAGCAATCAGCGGAGTTGCAAGGTCTGCCCAGAAGATGACAACGGAACATGAAAGGCAAAGCATGCGCATGCTCGATAATGGCGCAGTGGCACCCAAACCGACGCGCTTTTTGCCACCGAGCACCGCGATCGCAAAAACAAGACAGCGATCCAAATCCCGAAACGATTTTGGAACCCAGTCTTGCGGTCGTCCAGCAGACACGCACCACTGGAAAGTGTCATTCCATTACCAGGAGCCAGGAAGCGCCGGTTCTGGACCAGCTGGCAGCCCGTGTGATGCCCGCGAAATACTGACACAGATCAACACCAGGCGGCAGCACCGGGGCCGTTCAAAGCGGCGGCCCATCGCGACTGCACGAGTATACCCTGCTGTCACGACTGCGTCTGGCTGCGATACACGGCCGAGTGAGACACGGTCTCTGGGAGTCGTGGGGAGACGCCGGCACGGGCCGCGGGCGTGTCCGGCGTGGCTGGAGCCGCTCACCCAGCACTGATGATGTTCGAAGACTTCACCTCTAAGGTACCCCGTGATTTTAACCGCCATTAACAGAAGGCTTCTCAACAGCCGGCCCAGCCCAGCCAATATCTTCAAAAACCCTTGGTCCCCATACGGACGTTATTGCGCCAAATCAAAAAAGCGCATACAAATGAGTTCTATGCTAACAAAAGCATCTCGTCCTTTCTGCGGCTATACTGATGCATAATGACCGCAGACTCGAGGTGCAGCCTGCCCACCGCGCGGCTCTTATCGGAGTCGGCCACACCTTAAGTGCGGCGAAACATGACAACCGCCCCACAAAGGCACGCCGATTAGGACTGAGGACCACTGGCCCGCCCAACACAGCTGCTAGGACCTGGCAGCCGCAGACTGGCTCACAAAACACCCGTCTCTCACCAGCTCACACCGTAGCTCCGCCTCTCACCAGCTTACCTCACAGCCTAGTATCTTGCCAGCTCACTCCATAGCCCCGTCTCCCACCAGTTCACCACACAGCCCCGTCTCTCACCAGCTCACCCCACCTCCGCCTCTCACCGGTTTACCACAGCTCAGTCTCTTACCAGCGCCGCCTCTTTACAACCACGCTTCGGCCTCGGAGCAACCGGCTTCCTTGTCCTGTTTTTTGGCATTCTCTTCGGCGCAGTATCACCAGGTAAGCGGCAGCCAAATTCCAGCAAGTTCGCCGTCGGTAGCGCCTACAGTCCACTCTTACTGCCTGTGCTTTCTACCCACGCCTACTGCCCGCCCCAACTGTCCGCGCCTCTTGCCCGTCCCTTCCGCCCGCGCCTTCTGCCCGCCCGTACGGGCCCGCGTGTTCTGCTCACCCCTTCTGCCCGTGCTTTCTGCCGGCGCCTACTGCCCGCTCATTACTCAGCACCATTGGCCCACCTTGTCATCAGCTGGCGAGAGCACGTTCTGCAGGTCATCGGTGGGTGGCGGCGGCGGCGGCGCCGGCCGGGACAGCAGCAGCTGGCGGCGCTGCTCCGCCACCGCCGCCGCCGCCGCCTGCACGGCCGGCGCGTTGCGGGACTTGAAAAACTTCTTCACCTGCCGACACGGCGCCCACGGCCGGGGTCAGTCGGGGTGCGGGAGGGCGGCCGGCAAGCGCCGGGCGGCGGGTGTGATGCGCCGGTGCACACCATCACGCACTGAATACGCCAAACAAGCACGCACGCGTACTCAAGTGTGATCCCCCATCGCTCCTGAGCTAGTGGAGTTTAAGCCGCTTCCTGACATCAGTTGATGCTGAACGTTGGTTACATAAGTTTTTCCTAACGCCGGTTGATGCCGGACGTTGGTTAACTAACATAAGTTATCATGTTCAGGGAACAACCTACATTAGTTTCTATTTAAAATTAAGAATGAGAACTGATATTCCGGCTGTGTTCCGGCAACTGAGAGTTGACTGTAGTTCCGTCATGTAAAATTAAGAATGACAACTGATATTCCGGCTGTGTTCCGGCAACTGAGAGTTGACTGTAGTTCTATATCGAACCATAAAGCACGGCCAGGCAGTTAGACGTGTAACGTGTAAATGCCTGGACGTTAAGGGTTCAACGTCCACAAGGTAACATATTACACTTCCGGCGTCGCTTCCGTGCTCTACGCTTCCCCACCCCCACAAACTCTCCTGTACCGCGCTCAACCCCATACCAATCACACACCCGACCCCTCACCATCCCGCCAACCCACACGCGCCCGCGCCCGCCACCCGCTCGCCCAGCCTCACTGCCGCCGGCGCGGCGGTCGCCGCCGGGGCCAGCCCACCTTGCGAACGGGTGCCGCCGCACCCCCGGGCGTGGTCGACTCGAACGAGAACGGGTCGGCGTGCGCCGGCGGCGGCGACGCCGGACGACCGTCGACGGGGTCCGCCTCGCCCGGCGCGCCAGAGCCTGCCGGCGAGCACGGGCGGAGTCAGGGGAGGGGGGACAATCGGATGAGCAGCGGCCGAAGCAGAGCCTGCCGGCGAGCACGAGCGGAGTCAGGGGAGGGGTGACGGGAGGGAGGGGCAGCCAGATCAGCAACAGCCGGATCAGCAGCGGCCGAATCAGAGCAGCCGAATCAGCGGCAGCCGGAGAGACGCCGCACCCGCGGGCGGCTGCTGACACAGAACGCGTGAACACGTGACATGAGGCAACGCTTTGCTGTAAGTAACAGAAGTGGTGTGAACACTGGCATTGGCACTCACAGTACCTGCAGGGACAAAACGCTCGAAAGTGGACTATTCGTCATTCAACTACGAGCTGAGATGGAAAAATATTAACAGAGACAAGAATATAATTTTAATGAACGATCTATTGGATGCCAGGTGATTGTTAGCAGCCAAGTGCAGCCTCCATACAAAACGTGCAGGCTAATAGATGAATAAATGTTTTGTTAAAGAGGCAAACTGCTGTTGAATCATGCGAAGGCACGGGCAGTATCCAGCTTTAAGAAGGCAAAGCCACAATTATTAAATTGTTCTCCAAATTTTGATGTCATGCTATATCAAAACAAAAAAGCTTTCTTTGCTGTCTTGCAGGCATGGGCCTGCTGCCCCCCCCCCCCCCATAACTTTATTTGGATCCCGTAATGGAAACATGAGAGCAACACGTAGTCCGGCTCTGCACCACCATTACCTTTATTTAGGGGCTTGGTGCATCCCATGTTATATTTCACTTGTTTATCACAAGGGCGTGGATGCAGCAGCATTATTATAAGCATCACCAGTCATTTGTAGCATCATCTTTTCAAGTACCGCTCAATTGCATTCACATACATCTGAAGCAGCGATCGTGGCGATCAAGGCGAAACAGATTAAATCGCACACATCTTTCAAAGATGACTGCATATCGTTACATACCTGTGCTTCACTGTTGGGTGGTAAATTGATACCCTTGAGCATTAACATATTGACATCACCTGAGCGGTCCTACAAGACACAAACTGTGGACAAGTTCTGATGCTAACTGACGTACCAACCATAGCCAGCGCTTTACACGCTGTGATCACGATGCTGACATATCAGTCCGCTGTTATGCCTATTTTGATCGAACAAGGGACATGACTGTGACTGCAGAATGCTCATACCAACAAACAAAGGAACATTGTGACTTAGGGGTCGTCCATGAATTGGGTCACGAGAGCCGAGTGAAGGGTTTTTGTGGAGCGTAACGGAAGCGCAACAAGAGAGGGAGGAGAAACATTAAACGGTGTAACGTCGTGCTCAGGTACGGCTGTTAATCATGCTCAAATCTTTAAAACAAAATGAAACCGTAAAACCGCATCCTGTTGGCTTCCTTTTGTCACAATGAGCGTACCCGTCATTTATTTCACATCGCCCCAGGTCAATTAACGGGAAAGCGGAGGTTACGTTTTTGGAATGTTCTGTAACGTTATTTGTGGACAGACACTTTATAGTTTCTGGAAGCCCACGGCAGTTATAACCGGTGAAAGGTCTATTAAAGGACAGTTATTATTATTGAAACAAAAGGCAACATCCCCTGCACACCAAGAGCGTACCTCCGAGCGAGCCACCGCCCAGCAAGACGGCGCGAGTCCTGTCCGCCTCGGCACAGGGCCACAGGGCCTCCCCAGCCCCAGCAAAGCCCCACCCGACCGGCCCGGACCACCGCCGCAGCCAGCCTTCGGTCCCGCCGCCGCCGGCACCAGCACGCTCACCATTGACGATGCTGCTGCGGATGGAGGTGAAGCTGGTGACGCCCCAGCGGCCGAGCGTGCCGGCCGACTTGGCCGCCGTCGGCTTGCGGTCAGAGACGCCGGCATCGAACTGGATCGAGGAGGTGGGCGCCGGCGGCGGCCGCTTGCACGTGTAGCGGGGCATGGCTGCGGACTCGCGCGCCGCTCAGTGGCCGCGCCGCATCTCGTCTCACTGGCGGATACACGGCCCACGGTCAGGTCCGGAGACGCCGGCTGCTGATGGTGGGGGAGCTCAGAACAGAGACACAGGGGGAACATTGAAGGGGGGACGAGGTACCGGGACAGGAAGTCAGTACACGGACAGGGAAAGGAGGTCAGAGGATGGACACTGCAGGGGATACTGACAGGAACAGAGACACAATGTCAGAACAGGGACACCACAGGGGACACTGACGAGGGGCATGAGGTCAGAACAGGGACATCACCGGAGACACTGACAGGGACACCATTCCAGGTCAATGTTAGAGACAATTTCTGATAGTTTGCAGGACAATTTTGGACACATCAATGGCGTTTTCCATCGATGAAGCTTGGCCAATCAATGATGTTCCCAAATAAACCAAAATAGTGTCACATGATTTTTTTTTAGCTATACCTTGGTCCCAGGTGACTCTTATACCATGAATTCCAAACCTAGATAGACCTATTTCAAAAAGCAATTTTGTACTTCCTTGTACCAAAAAGCACTGTTTTATCTCTTGCATAGACATAATTTTCCAATTTCCTACACAAATACTCAGCCCAAGATTTTGGCCTGACAACATACACAGCAGCCATGCATGTGCTTGTATCTGGAGACCCAGCCCAGGACATGGTCATGGCAGGCTTTATGTCTTGGTGTGGTATGGCCTGGTGAACAATGTCAGATAAAGTTATCTGCTCAGCCAGAGTAGCAACATCTGGGTTATGAGTTCAGGGTGTAAGCAATGACAGCCCCTGCTTGGTATTAACTCTAAGTTACATGCCACTCATGCAAAGCATTCAGAATAAGTAGAACAGGTAAGTTGTTCACTGGATTTCATAACTCACCCCCTCATGGGGGACATATTGCTGGGATAGCCACATGAAATGACAAACTTTGGTGTGCTACGCTGTGCACATAGCAGAAACTGCAAACATGAGTGCCTACAGTCAGAATCCTGTTTGGTGTTCCTGGTAATCACACATGATAAATTGGCCATTGGGCATACATGACTAGCAATCTTACACCGCTTACTTGTATTGTAAGTTACTGATGATGTCTAATACAATAGTTGTTGGCTGTTATTACACGGAAAACTATAAATAGCACAGGCAAGGATCCTTAGTGGTCTCCTGGCAGTAGCAGGCCGCTGGGAACATAATTGGCATAACATAGAAGGCAATGTACCCTTGACCATTCAAAAGGTTCCAAATTTATGAGTTTTCAGTGCATGACAACATATATTTAAACAGCATCATGTTCCTGTGCACAGGCTGTTCATTTTTGTTAAAATGAAGTAGTATATTTTGTAACTGCAGATACATCATGCTACACATGGGTTCAAGCATGGCCCATCACTGGAATTCCATAGCAGTGTCAGCAGAATTTTTGCACATAAAAACATGACATTGACATCCCAATTCCAGATTGTTTCAATATTTGATTTAATGAGAAGCAGAAATGTCAATATTCTTATGTTGTTGCCACCCTGGCCCTGGATTCACTGCCTTTTACTGGTCTCCATACTCAAACTTGCTCAAGATTAGACAATCAGCATAAAACCCAGCAGTCATCAACTCAGCATCTAGGTACATCAGCACCTGAGCTTGGTGAATCCCTGGGTGGACCAAATGTAACAGCTTCTGATCTTCTCATAACAGCGGCCCCCTGCCACAAAGATTTAGCCCTTATACTTGTTTGCTAGCCTTACAATCCAAAATATTTGAGCCATTCATGCTATTTATTGGTTTTGTATCTGACATAAGAAACATGAGCAATGGTGTCCCAAAAACTAAAGCATTTCAGCTGCTTCTCAGCCAAATGATCTACACCTACCTGAAACATATACATGGATTTAGTGCAAGCATCACATGCAATAGTTTGGTTGCATATTTATTTCTAAGTTGGAAATGTCTGTAATCTGCACAAGATGATTTACATTCCGGGTTGTCAGTTTTCACACCCCCTCGTCTTAAGATGTTATCGTTGCATGTGGCAAGCGATTTCTTAGAGGCTAACCAATGTTATAAAAGCTTTAAGTACTATTACAGTTCAAATGTTTAAATTCCAACAGTGACCAACTGCCTTAAGATAAGGCCAAAGGTTCACATGAGTTCAGAGGAGGGGGCTGAGCAGCAAAAACATGACCAAACTTACCCCAAAATGTGCAAACAAATAGTTTTCTCCCCAGATTTGGCCCACCTTATTCCCAAACTTCAGTCCCAGTTCAACCCCACATATTAATAGGAGACAACACCCCTTCTTTCAGATCATTGTCCACACAAGTAGCCAGCATGAACTGTATTGCATATCAAAATATAAGCCTCAAAATCTTTCAAAATGGCCTTGCCCCTGAAATTATGAGCATTGCTTGTCAAATCAGTGAAAAAAGAACAGTTCACATTCTGGCCTTAGAAGTAGGATAGTATTGCCAAAAAATAATGCCTTCATAAAGATCCTTGGGAAGACAAGGAAAACCTTCCTAAGCACAGCATATATTTAAAAAAGAAGGAGACAAAAAACCCACATCAAACTGCACCCAATAACTTAAAAATTAACAGCTAAACCACGACTTGGAGTTATAGCGCCCATTCCAGATGAGGAGTAATGCACCAAAATGGCATTCTCTCACAGCAATATACCGGTGGGAAGATAGCTTGTATCGCGCTGCTTCTAGACTGGCACACGTCTGCTTGGTGACACAGGCAACCGCCTTACAGAAGCAACAACAACCGTCCCAAATGCCGATAACCGTCCATGAACTGTGCAACAGTTACACAGCGCACGCACGAATTGTCAGAAGACGCCGTAAACGTCGAAGAATAGATTGTGTTTGTGCCACCTAGCGGTAGCAACTAAAACCTTAGTTTGAAAGAAGAGACACTGGTTCTATCTCGCCGTTGACGAAAATCGATAGCTTTGTTTACATACGAAGATCACTTCTTAAGATTTAGCCTGCCCCGCTCAACCAGCTAATTGTTGGTTGTCTATGTGTGTTTTAATATTTTCCAACCGTTTTGGGATGTACCGGTGGCAGCTTGGATTTTTATGTGGTCATGAACTCAAAACTTCGGCGCTAAGGCATTGACCAGTATGACCCGATTGAAAGCTGTTATCCGCCCCTTCCTCGCTTCATGCTGTGTCCTCGCGACATCCCATTTGCCCGACGCAGGCTGAATATGCCAGCCACGAGTGAGCCCAAGTGCTCCCTAGTCCGAGGGGCCCAGAAGCCCAGGGCCCCCTTTCCGAGTGCCTAGCACACTCCCCGCAGAGGGGTCACTATACGGGCAAGGTCACGGCGTATAGGTCCCCTGGCGCATGAAGTCCTGCCCCATCGTTATCCATTTTCGTTCATGCCATAACCATAAAATTCCAGTTACTGGCCGAAAGCACACTAGTCTTATCAGCCAAGTAACCAATCTACCAAAGCTGCCGGGTAATTGCGGAAATAGTATATGCGAGGCATATAGTAAAATAATACTGTAAATAATAGTGAGAATAGTATATAGTAAAATAATACTGCAAATACCTTACATCAAACGTAGGTCCCGAGGACCACCTAACAGGGATCCCTGACGTGCCGTATGGGAGGGCATGCGACCGCTCGAGCGGGACCGGACGGGGGCAGGGGCAACTCGAGGCTGTTCATGCGACGTGCAGCCGCGGAAAAGGACCCTCCTGTGATGAGTCGTGCAGGAGTGCAGGGTTGGGTGCGTGCGTACAAGTAAAGAGGAAGATGGGGCGCGCTTAAACCTTCTGGCATTGGCTATCCATCATCTGATCATCTTTGGTTATGAGCCATTCCAAAGAGTCCGCGCGCTCTCGGCGTCAGCGATCATTTGAGGATCTGCAGACGCCCTGGCACCACGCATGCCATTCTCGAAGATCTCTGACCATCGCAGGTTTACTGGTGTTCTCTGTAGCGGCTTTGACAGACGCCTTCACTCTGATCTTTTAGGCAGGGCATGAGTGCATCGGCTGGGAGGGGGGTTAGGACACGATCTCCATCCCATGCTCACAAAATTGCCCTCCAATTTACCTGTATAATTTTGTTTTCATGATTTTCCATTCGAATTGTTCTGTTGATGTTACGCTATCCCCTCCAAATTCCGCCTAAATCCCCTAATCCTGATTTGTCTCCCAGTCATGGGGACGTGGTTACACCCATGGGCAAAGGAGTATATTTGTCGATCTTTGCTTAAACTTGTATCGTCCAGTCTAACTGCATCACGCCGGAACGGCCCTATCGGATCAAGCAGGTTCGAGAAGGCATGGAAGAATATCCGCGGCCGTCGGAACATCTTCTTTTTGAAAATATGGGGCAAAACACCCGGTGCATGCAAGTTATTCGTGACTATCTCTAAGTTAATGTGGGGCATCGGCATCGTATAAAAAAAACGCGAAATAAGCGCACTCAGAGGGTGGGTAATTAAACGTGAGTCACTACCGCAGGCCGCAAGGAACACCTGAAAACCCCAAGAGGGGAGGGAGGAAAGAAAATATAAGGATTTGTAACTGTTGCTCACTATGGGAAGGCCACAATGAAGATCGCATAGCCCCCTCCCCCATCAGAGTTACCTATGCTCATAGATATCCCTTCATGAAATCGGTTGGAGGCTAAGCCGATAAGGTTGGCCTAACATGAGCCCATAAAAGGCGATTTCTCTCCAGCTTTCGGCCACTTTAATTTGCGTCCTCGCTATTAGATTGAAAACATATGCTGCCGACTCCGAAAACATTTTCTGCGGAGGAATAGGTTACCAGTTAAAGGTGATTGATGCTGCACCTTTGCAGAACATGCTTATAATGTGATGTATCTAATTCAAAGAAATAAACATATCCGTAAACAGAAAAAGGTGTCGTTCATCTTTTATCACAGGTGGTCAGAGGCGCGAAAAGATGGCTTTTGTAAATGGCGTGGCATGACATGTACCTACGGGCGAGAGCCTGTGGGGAATTTGCAAACGTAGTGGCACGCTGTACCAATATGCGAAAGTAAAACCGAAGTTGCACGACCTCCCCAACAGACATGCCGATAGCTGGCGGGACAGAGTAGGTAAATATTGGGGACCTAATGAGCCTCCATAGTGTCCGTCCTCAAAACAGCGTGATCAACGCTTTGACGCGTACCGAAAGTTGGTATAAGAAAGGAAGGCTTCGAATCTTGGTGCCTTCGGATAATAAATTGGGAGTTTCCATGTTGAAAATAATCGACATTCAGTACAACAGGAGGTTGTGAATAAACGTTGTCCGAAAAACATTGGTTATATCGATGAAACTGGATGTTTTGAAGCCGTGCTCATTGTCAGATTTTTTCATAAACGTCAATGAACACCACGCCAATATTTCTCTTTCCTCTTGAACTTGCCGCACAAAATGTGTCGATTCATTCCTCGACACCGTTTCCGTGATACGACCAGGTGGAAGATGCACCGCCAACCTGTTCTTCACATCGTCCAATCCCCCAGTACACTTAAGCCCGCTCCCATTGCTCAGGTAGTTAAAGCACTCGCGTTCCGTTTTGCAACTCTGTAGCGGAGTGGACTCGAGTCGCCAAAGGCGCTCGCTATTATATATATATATATATATATATATATATATATATATATATATCGCTATTAGTCGCTATTATAGGCGTCCGCTATTCGTCCCCAACTGGAATAGCCTGCAGCCGGTGGCTGCGGCCGCGCTCAAGCTCAGGCGATATCAGATGGCAGGATAGACTGTGTCGACAATTGCGACCGAGGACAATTACGGTTTTTGCCGCCAAGTTCTGACGTCGACCCTGAATTGTGTGCCGTTGGGGCTTTACGACGCACTCAGCTGCTTAGGCTGTATGGCGTCGCCTGCCTCTCACCCTGGCAGGAAGAGCGGGCACAGCGGGTACCCTGAATTGTATTATCTCATCAACGCTTGCCCAACAAGCACTGCTTGGCGTGGGCACACATTCCAGAAATATGTCCCATCAAAAAGTGACAATTTATCGCCGTATTTTATCAAAACTTAACAAAAACTTAAAGGTATCACCAATTTAACAAACCTTATTGTCGCCCCAAACATACCGCATTATTTTCCCGCACAACCCACGGATACCAATAAAGCACTCCTGACATCACAAATGAGGAGAGTGGTGTGTGTGTGTTCCAGTCTCCAGTCGTGCGAACGCAGACCTGCTGAAGTACACCTTCTTTTCCGTGGGAGCGGATGCACGGAGCACCGAGTGAGGTCTTCTGATCGTGTCGCTAATGCTCGGTTTAACAATATATCACGTTCGCAAAGAAATAATACAAAAGTGAAATAAACAGACTGTGTGAAACTTCGTTAAGGATATGTGGCCCAGGTAAAATTAGCCCCCATTCTTCTTCAGAGAGACAAGCATATGTCTTGTATCAACAAGACTACAGTGGTATTCAAATGACCGTTCAAGTGCAAAACGAGATGAAAAACACTGGTAGTCATCTGTGATCTCACATTCATCAGACCATGACTCTCCCGAAGACGCCTCTTTGGGGACGATAGTAAGTATCTTATCAGCACCACCTCAAAGTGATACGTCGCTAGCGGTCTGGTGCACTCGTGGGCGAACCTTTAAAAGCTCAAGGTAACCTTGAGCGGCGCGTCACCGTGGGCAATCGACCTGGCAACCGAACAAAGAGTTTTCTAGCATTTCGTTGGCCCGGTATTAATTTCTGCCGACATTCATTGAGGCGGCTCAGGGAGCATCGAGGGGGGAGGGGGAGACCCGAGTAAACATTAAGGGAGGCGGGGCAGCGTCGTGGAAATATATTAAGTGACGATCTTGCCCATGTCCCCTCCCCTCACGTAGGCTGTATAGCACTGTGGACGACCCTGCCCATGTCCCCCTCCCCTCATGCAGGCTGTATAGCACTGTGGACGACCCTGCCCATGTCCCCCTCCCCTCATGTGGGCTGTATAGCACTGTGGACGACCCTGCCCATGTCCCCTCCCCTACATGTAGGCTGTAGAGCACTGTGGACGACCCTGCCCCGTCCCCCTCCCCCCATGTAGGCTGTATAGCATTGTGGACGACTCTGCCCATGTCCCCCTCCCCTCATGCAGGCTGTATAGCACTGTGGACGAACCCTGCCCACGTCCCCCCTTCCCCTCATGTAGCTGTAGAGCACTGTGGACGACCCTGCCCATGTCCCCCTCCCCTCATGTAGGCTGTAGAGCACTGTGGACGACCCTGCCCACGTCCCCCTCCCCTCATGCAGGCTGTATAGCACTGTGGACGACCCTGCCCACGTCGCCTCCCCTCATGTAGGCTATATAGCATTGTGGACGACTCTGCCCATGTCCCCCTCCCCTCATGCAGGCTGTATAGCATTGTGGACGACCCTTGCCCACGTCCCCTCCCTCATGTAGGCTGTATAGCATTGTGGACGACCCTGCCCATGTCCCCCTCCCTCATGCAGGCTTTATAGCACTGTGGACGACCCTGCCCACGTCCCCCTCCCCTCATGCAGGCTGTATAGGATTGTGGACGACCCTGCCCACGTCCCTCCCTCATGCAGGCTGTATAGCATTGTGGACGACCCTGCCCACGTCCCCCTTCCCTCATGTAGGCTGTATAGCATTGTGGACGACCCTGCCCATGTCCCCCTCCCCTCATGCAGGCTGTATAGTATTGTGGATAACCTCTCCTCATGAAGAGAGGTTACGCCAGAGAGGCCCTATCCTAGTCCTATAAACCTGCGATCAAGCCTCAAGAAGCAGCATAATATCCATTACCCTGCGTCCATGGAAGTTCCG